ACTACCAATACTGTCACCACGGAGCATCAGCAGCACATCAATGCCTGCCGTGTGTCCAGGGTTTGGCAAATGATACCTTGATGCTGGATACTGAGTTTCTATAAGAAAGCTAGAAAAGCCTATTTTCTATATTTTTTGGGGGGTGGGGGAGGGGAGGGCATAGAAACATTTATTTTCTACCCAGAGTAGGAAACCCCTTTGAAAGATGAAAATGCTAACTTCATCTTTCAAGATACATTGTATTTCCAGAAACCTTGGCTCTAATGGACAGTCTTCCATTTTTGATCCTTCCACCGATTCCTGCCCCCTCCTACTATTCCTGCTCCTATTAACCCTATCTCCCTCACTCTCCTACTACTGTGCAGCCATTCTATCTAAAATTACCATCAGCAAAATGACTTAAATTGTATTTTTATTTTGAATAAGTCTTTCTCAACCCTTTCAATGCTGCCAAGTATTGTATATACATTAATATATTTAAACTGTTCTGGCCCGTAGTCAGCTTTTGGAATACCACAAAAAAACAAAAACAAAAAAAAACCCAGAGCTTTTCTTTACGTGTATTTTCTGTTGTATATTGGAATTCTATGTATAAGGTAAGATTTTTCTCTGAATTTTATATTATTTGTATTTTCCAAAGATTCATCCATATCATCTAATTTTCTATGATTAAATGTGCAATGAAATAGGCCTTGTTTTATCAATGTTCTAAAAAAAATACTTTGCAATAAAAATCCATATTATTTTTTTATGATAATAATTGGTTTTGTTTTGGGTCCTTAAAACGTGCGACCAAGAGAACTCTTTGCAGGTGTCTGTCATATAATTCTATTTTCTTACTAGTGTGGAAATGAGAAGGTAGGGCGGGGTGAGGATGAGCTCCCAACTCCGCCCCGCAGGGTGGAGTTATCCCTAGCCCTCACCCAACCAATCAGGATTAGCCGAGGCAGTGACATCACCATCGACCTGAGTAAAACCCCTAGAGTGGAAGAAATTCTCTCTCTTCTGCCATGCTGCCGGCTTGAGTGGGGGGGCCCATGCTAGCATGGAAAAGGCTCTTTTGTTTATTGCATCGGACTCGGCTCCCTGGTAGTCCTTGGGGATCACGAAGTCTGGGCGTAACAGAAATATTTTTCCTTCTGAATGTCACTTTAATTTCCCTATTCTCACTCCAGTTTTAAATGAATTTGATCGACTAGTTATAAAACTCTAGATATTTCTTTTTTCTTGTTTACAAAACAAATTATATTTCTGCTCATTTTCAAAGAGAGGTCTTCAAGATGCTTCCCCTGTGGTGACTGTTTTGAGCAGAAATATCTCTTAGCAAATACCATGCAATTATGTTATCAGCAAAGCAGCTTGTCAGTACTGCAAGGAAACAAACCAATAGCAGGAAATTTGCAAGCTTAGAAAAGATCGACATAAGTGGAGAGACAGAATTCTAGTCCATTTTCTTTTCAAAACAAACAAGTATGATAGTTAGTAGACAAGAGACTTTGAAAGTTCTCTTTCACCCTGAGTGATAAGTGTTGTGGGGTCCAACCCTGGGTTCAAAATAAGACCACCGGAGGCTGATGATTGATTTAAAAAGCAGGCAAGTATTTATTAAAATAACTGGCCAGGACAGCCGCAAGAGCACCACACGCAGGTGGACTCCACATGACTGCACTGCTTCAGGGGTAGGCAATCCCTTTTAAAGGTTCAAACCACAGGAATGTTCTTCTGTTCTAAATTCTAAATCCTAAAGACTACATTCTAAACACTGGGGTTAGCTCGAAGGGTTCCCAGTCACATCCTGCTGGACATTGGAATGTGGCCCTTGAGCTCAGATAAAGAATGAGGTTTATTTAGAACAATCTTGCTTATTTACTTTATCTGTTTTGATTCAATTTGACTCCAATGACGTCTGTAAAAAAAAAAATGTCCAAGCCAAAGAGGAAAAATTTAAGCAGCCATATCAGAGTCCATGAAGGTTATAATTTTCTACTATCCACCACATTCATGCAGGAGAAAAGGTTACACTATTCGAGTATCCTTTTTCGGATGTGGGAAGAATAGAGGGAAGGTCATTAGAAACAAGCCTTTTCTTTCCTTATTGCCCAAAATTGTCTAACATTGTCCTTTTTATTCTATTTTAATTGTTTTTAATGTTAAATTCCACCAAGCCACATGGATAAACAAGAGCAGACCAGGGTAAGATGGTTTAAAATTTTCATCTGCTCTGGAAGTCATTTTGCTATGGTTAGTTAATGCAGGTCAGACTTATCTTAGTCTTTTTTTTTTATTTTCTTTATCTATCATGACATCTTCCTTCCACTAATATTATGTACTTAATATGTTCTTGGAAAACTATTTCTAAATTTCTAAGTGTCATACCACAATAGTGTGGCAACATAGTATTTCAAAATATGAGTTGAAGGCCCTCAGGCCTTTGGTGGCTTTGTGCAGTCTCTCCATCCTTCCTCAAGCTACCAGAGCATTTAAAAATCATTGTTTCAGGAGAAGGATGGAGACACAAAGGGGAAAGCAGGTAACCAAGAAATGATTTTGACAGTTCAAATTCTGATTCACAAAGAGAACTCAAGGCTGAATAAAAATTTAACTCCCTGAAATAGATAAATTTCTTAGGATAGAGAGGCACACTATGGATATAGGCACAGAGTCATTGTGGATCCCTAAGAAAAAAGAAATTCAGACCCTCATAGAACTCTCCAGACAGTTCTAAGTCATCTGAGAATGGAAGGGACTTAAGATCCCCTTTCCAGGGTAGTTTAGAGGAGACAGTAGGACTTGATGGAAGAAATAGCCTCAGGTGGTTACTGGCAGATAAACCTCAGTCAGAAAAGGCAGTGGAATAATCCCTGTCTCCCTCTCCAACTGCAGGATTTTTGCAAATAAAACCAAACCAACCATACACACACAGACACAAACAGACCCAAAGACCTTGCAGTCAAGTATTAAAACATTTACCGACAAGAGATTTATGCTAACTATAGATTGGTGAAGTCTTTAACAATCTTCTATGTTCTCACTAGAGGCCCAGTGCATGGAATTCATGCATGGTGGAGGGAGATGGCTGTCCCTCAGCCCAGCATGCACCCTCTCCAATCTGGGGCCCCTCGAGGGATGTATCATTGCCCATTTATCACAATCCAGGACTGCTGGCTCCTAACAGCTCACCTGCCTGCCTTCCTGATTGCCCCTAACTACTTCTGTCTGCCAGCCTGACCATCCCTAACCACTGCCTTGCCAGCCTGATTAAGTCTAACTGCTCCCTGCCAGCCTGTTTGCCCCCCAATGTCCATCGTCTGCTGGCCTGGTCACCCCTAACTACCCTTTTCTGCAGGCTTTATCACCCCAAACTGCCCTTCGCTGCTGGCCATCTGTGGTGGCCATCTTGTGTCTACATAGGGGTAAGGTCTTTGACCACATGGGGGCAGCTATCTTGATCTTGTGTATTGGAGTGATGGTCAATCTGCATATTACTCTTTAATTAGATAGGATAGAGGCCTGATGGATGGGTGGGGGACAGCTGGTTTGCTGTAAAGAGTGTCCCGGATCAGGGTGGGGGTTTCCTTGGGTCATGGGGCACCCTGGGCTTGGGGTCTGTGGTGGTTTGCAGGCCAGCCATGCCCTCTGGCGACCCAAGTGGAGGCCCTGGTATCTGGGATATATTTATCTTCTACAATTAAAACTTTGTAGCCTGGAGCCAAGCCAAGCCTTTTGCTCACTCCCTGGCAGCAGCCATTTCTGTTGGGGTTTGTTTACCTTCTATAATTGACACTTTGTATCCTTGTGAGAATTCCTAGGCCAGCAAGTCAGGTGGAAAGTTGGCTTCCTCCATTGCAGGGGAAACCCAAGCCTTCCTACTACTCTTGTGGCAGCAGCCATCTTTGTTGGGGTTAATATGCATACTCACTATGATTGGATGGTGGGCGTGGTTGGTGGGTGTGGCAGAGTAAAAGGTTAATTTGTATATTACTCTTTTATTAGGTAGGCTATTGGTATTTTCTAACAAAACCAATAGTATTTTTGGTTTTATTAGTTAACCATCCAATACAATCTCCATGAAAGCCATGCATTTTTAATTCCATCATTTACACTATGAAAATGAGCATTGTGGAAAAGTTTCCTATTACCTTGTGTACCTTATAACCTTGTGTGTACAGAGTACTTGACTGAAAGCACCTTTCAAGACTTGAAGTCATCCCCAGAACCTGACTTTCTCGTACTCTAGCAGAAATGCAACAGTAGAAGTGCATTCCTAATGCTTTCCCCATAGGGAAGATGCTCCTTTGGGAAAGAGCGGAGAAATCTGAAAGTTTAGTTTGCAGCTCAGGTAACCTTTACATATACTTGAGAACTATGACTGGAAACTCAAAAGGCTGAAGACATCATGCTTTCTCAGAAAATTGTTTGGCACAGGGTATTCTAATGAGTGAGATAACAAACTTAAGTCAAGAAAGTCCCGTAAATTGTAGAACTTGAAATATTATAGTTGAATCAGAACTTAATTCCAATTTGATCTGATTTCAAAGCTATTTCATTACAGAATCTTGGGTTCTAACTAAACTAAACTAAACTACTTAGTTCTGGAGGCTTAGTAGGCTTAAACATTCAGAGTCATCTTATTAAAGATTTTTTTTCTTTTAAAACTGAAGGATTTGGATCAAGTTATTATCTCTACTGCTGTGAAATTTGCACTAAAGTGTAGGATGGCGAAATTATGGCTTGATTGAAATCACAGTGCTAACAGCAGACTAAGGCAGCCACGTGTTTGAATTAATCTTTTAGTGTTTCCTTTGAATTTATCTCTTAAAAAATATAGTTGCTTCTCAAGTCTTCATAAATATTTATCACTTAAAAAAATCTATATTCTGGGTCTGGTATCAATTTGTTATTATGAATTGTTGCACTAAGTATTATACTTATTGTATAATAATAGAAACTACATGTAGAGAGTGCAAAGTAGACAACCAGAAGTCACCTGCATTCCTTACCTTTACTATCACTGTGACAGTAGCAATACCAGGAGGCATTGTTCCGTAAATGTCAAAGGCCTCTACTAGGAAAGTAATACTTGCTTCCTGGTCTGGAAATGACTCATAGTCCAAACTTGTCAAAAGGGAGAGTACTCCTGTAAATGGATGAATTGCAAAAAGATGCTTCACTTCTGGGCTTCCTATCCGATAAGACACGTTTGCTCCAAGGTCAACATCTGTGGCCTGTAACAAGAAGAACGGTTATATCAGTAGCATTACCAACCTAGAAAAATGAAAGACTGATGAAGTCATGTGTCAGTGCTTAGGACAGTTTAATGCTGAACAGAAGTCATGTTTCAGAGAAAAGCACATTTGTTAAGTATTTTACCAGAAAGAGAGAAGAGGAAAGAAATAGAGACCGAGACATGGGATTTTTGTCCTTGTGGATTTTATTACTAAATCTATTTTACCTGAAAAAAATCACTATTAAAAAAAAATAATACCACAATAAAGAAATAAGAATTGTCATAGATTATTTCTTGCTGACCATATAACTTTGAAAAGGAATATTTTAAACAAAAATAAATTTATTGAACCTTAACCAGTGTGGCTCAGTAGTTGGAGGGTTGGCCCATGGATTGAGGGGTCACAGGTTCTATTCCTGGTCAAGGGCATGTGACTGGGTTGCAGGTTTGATCCCTGCCCTAGTCAGAGCACTTGTGGGAGACAACCATTAACCCATGTCTGTCTGTCTGTCTGTCTCTCTCTTTCTCCAACCCCCAACCTCACTTTCTCCCTTCCATTTCCTCTGAAAATCAATGGAAAAAAATATTCTTTCATGAGAATTACCAAAAAACAAATAAATTTATTGAGTGATTTCCATAAACACAATAGATCATTAAAACATAAAAACTGAAAAATATAAGTAATAATTTCATTTTGTAAATATCCTATAGTTCATTTCTAGAGATCACTCTATTATAACTCTCATCATTTTACTAACATTTATTGAGTAGTTATTATGTTGAAGGTACTATAAAGATGTACTAGATGAATCAAGGCAGTTTCTGCCCTCCAGCTTACTGTACAAAAAAAATAAAATAAGACACAAATACCAAAATCAAAGGAAAAAGTGGTATGTCACTTAAAGGTGTTGAGAATTGGGAGTGAATATCTTTTAGCTGAAAGGATGCTTTTTATGCAGTATTTGTGGGATGATTATTTTATTCAGTAGTACAGACTTGCAAAGGCCACTCTGGTAGTGGACATTGAATGAAGCAAGAATGGCATTGGGAGCCAAAGCCGGTTTGGCTCAGTGGTAAAGCGTCGGTCTGCAGACTGAAAGGTCTCAGGTTTGATTTCCGTCAAGGGCATGTACATTGGTTGTGGGCACATGCCCTGTAGGGGGTGTGCAAGAGGCAGCTGGCCGATGATTCTCTCTCATCGACATTTCTAGCTCTCTATCTCTCTCCCTTCCTCTTTGTTAAAAATCAATAAAATATATTAAAAAAAAAAAAAAAGAATGGCATTGGGGACATGAGGATTGGTTAGACTCTGCATGCAGGGATGCAAAACCTCTTATGTGAACTTCTAGTCTTGGCAGCTTTTAACCAATATGGACATACTGGTAACAATGAGAAAGATTTTATTTTACTTCCCTGCCTAAAATATTTATTTTTCATTCAATTTTGGATCATCTCCCAACTATTTAACATGGTGAGAAGGACATACACATTTTGCAGCCATTTAAGACCTAATTCTCTTCTCTCCTCCAGGATTTTGAGCAGATTATTTCCACTGCCTTGAATAGTCATTCTTGATCTTTGCTTAAATAACTCTCACTCTTCAGTTCACCATTCAGAAAGCAACTTTCTCCAGGAAACATTCTCTTTGACCTACAGATTAGGTTACGACCTGTGTTCTCCTAAGCCTTTCACTTTGAGGACATTTGTTTTAATTAGCAGTCTACTTGTCTCCTTGCTACAAGACCAAAAACTCAATGAATGCAGAAAATTGTCCAGTTCATGTTTAAATCCTCAAAGTCTAGCAGAGGAGTGGATATAAAATAAATGTTGAAATTATACTTCTTGAATGAATGAATGAATGAATGAGATGGATAGAAGAATACATGAAGAAATAATGGCCCTCTTCATGACCAGCATATGTCTCTTTTGTCAGTTAATCATGTTTATGTCTAAATAGTTATTTGGTTGGATTATGAAAGAAATACAAGTTTTTTAAATCCATGCTAACAAAATTCATGTGTATTGCAGTCAAAGAGGTCTAATTTTTGTTTTAAAAAATATACTTCATATACCATCTGTGTCAGAATTAAATGGGTAGTTGCTTAAAATGCAGATTTATGAACCAATTTAACCCACTGCATCAGAATGTCCAGAGTTTCTAGTAATAGTGCAGTTGAGAAATGCAAAGGGAGGTTAGGAGATGGAGACACTATTAAATACGAGAGTTAACACTTGTGGAAGAATGTCAGCTATTTACTGAAAATAAAATTAAAAATTATAAAATAATAAATAGAGCAACATCCTGTTGCTGTACAATATAGATTACTCTTTACATATGTATAGATGTATGTATAAACATATATATATTTATGCAAAAATTCATGCATGTTATGTTTACATATATATCTTTGATACTTGTGTATGAAAATTAATGTGACAGAATAAACATGAAAATTAATACAGAGTACTTTGGAGGTACAAGGTGGAAGATAATTGACTTTTTATAGACTTCTGTATTGTTCATTATTACAATAAATATATAACAATTTTTAAATTGAAAAATCTATTTAGCTTTTTTATTTAATTTTTTATAAAGGCCCATTTTCTCTCATTTTTTTTTGTGTCCCTAAAAGTAGAGTTGTTAGATTTTTTTAAAAAATGTAGTGCTTGAGAGAGACTTATATTAAAGTGTACTCATTGTTTAGCTGCAATTAAAATTAAAAAATAAAATAAAATAAAAAAATTAACTGGATATGTTATTTTTTGATTTGCTAAATCTGTCAACCCTACCCTAATAGCTAATCCTATTATGTGGAACTTATGAAATGAATGCTTCTCCCACACACCTACCTCCACTTGAAGGAAGGTGGTCCCAGGTGGCAGATTCTCCTCAACAACAACAGTATATGTTGAGTTGGTGAACACAGGACTGTTATCATCAATATCCAAAACCTTGATGGCCAGGGTTATTGTTGAATGACGAGGGTGTACCGCTCCATCAGTTGCCACAACAAGAAGTTCATAGTAGTCCCTGACTTCCCTGTTAAGCTTCACTGTTGTGTAAATGCTCCCATTGGCTGTGATACGGAAAAGATGATTGAGGTTTCCCAAACTGTAGTACACTTGGCCATTTATTCCAGCATCAGGGTCAGTTGCCTAATTGAAATTAAAAAAAAAAAAAAAGGAAATTCACAAAGCACATTTTGTTAAGCTTTTTTCACATGGCATTTTGTTATGTTTTCCTGCTAGAAGAGAATAGTTAATGAATAAAGAATCTAGAACATGAAAAAATATAATATAGTTTAATATTCTTCATTCAAAATAAGCATAACTTATGAATTGATAATATCATTAGCAATAACATTATTTCAGAAAATTGTCACTACAAAAATACTGAATTTTCCTCTATCATTTCTTCAATACATTTTGAATTCTAAAATAAGAAAATCACAGAGTTTATAATTGCTTTAACATAAGTTACTAGGTGACAACTTAAATTCTAGAGTTTTAATTTGAGTACTTTACATATTTATTTTCATCTGTATATAAAATTTCACATAAATGCACATAAATATATATTAACTCATTTAATCTTCACAATGTTCTTATTAATAAATATAGTTGGTCCCAATTTACAAATGAGAAAACTGTGGTTTATGGAATTTAATTATCTTGCTTAGCATTACACAAGAAATAAATATCTCAGTGCCCCATTTTTGTATAATGCCTCACATATAAAACTCCTTAAATATTTGTGAAATTAGTATTTGAATAAATGAAAATGAGATATAAAACATAATCTGCTTCAAAATCCAAATGAGAGTAAAAGTATAGTGAGACTATCAAGCACCTACAAAGGGCTTTTCTTGAATATTACAATGCAATCTCCAAATGAAAATTGAGAATTGTTGATGTTATGATAACATATTAACTGAAAATTCTGGGTCATATAAAATCACTTCATATCAAATAAAATGTGGAAATTTTGAGTGAATATAAATTATGACCTCTCACTATCAAATACTGTGTCCTTTGTGTTAAATAGTTCTACGTTACTTTTCTTCAGAGAAATTGAAGGAAATCTTAGAAGCTATACAATGTTATATAGTTGTACCTCAAACTGTTGCTAAAGAAAATAAGATACGTGGCTGCATTATGAGCTAGGGATACAATAATCACTTAACATCCACAATAAACCCCTCCCCCAAAGAAACCTCCCACAAAACTTAATTTTTCTCTCTAAAATCACTGCTTAAGAAACTAGAAAAATGTAATCTAGTGATATAAATAGGTCTTATTTCATAATACTCATTGTCTTGAACATTTCAGTGACTTTTACTGTCTGTGGAAATTTTAAGATTACCAAATCAACCACTTGTATCACCAGTAATTTAAATGATTCTTGTTCAAGTTACGGTTTTATTTAGCCACGCATTGGAAGATTTGTTACAACAGAATGATTTAATTTGACTAATAGGCTATGTGTGTGTGTTGGGGGAGTATTGTGTATGCATTGTCCTCTATCGTATATGTTCAGCTGCTTAATTTATATCTTCAATAAGATACCTCAAATATATCTGTATTTTATTACTGTCATTACAAATTTAGCAGCTTATGCAAGCTTATTATCTTATAGTTCTGTAGATCTGAAGTTCAACATGTGTCTCACTACTCAAGGTATAGGTAGGGCTGTGCTTCTGTCTGGAGGCTTTAGAGAAAGGTCACTTTCCTTATTCACTCAAGTTGTTGGCATAATGTGGTTTCCTGGGACTGTCATATTGATGGCCCCATCTCTATTCTGGTTGCCATGTAGGACAATCCCCAGCTTCCAGAGGCCACCCCCTGTCCTTCGCTCATGGCACATTCCCTCCATCTTCAAAACCAACAATGGTGAGACAAGTCCCTCTCACACTTCTGAATCTCCCCTCTTTCTTCTTTCATTCCATCTCATACAGGGTATGAAGCTCAGCTACAGGCTGTGAGATATGTGTTGTATTAAATAACAAGGTCCAAGCTATAATGGCATTCACAGAAAAATCTCTATCTTATCCATACTATGCTTCTACCAGTGTAAAATATCTCAAGCCCAATCACAGTGGGCCCAGCTATCATCCATTGTGGCTTAGATTGCTAAATTACTTTTTAATTATTTTTTTTCAGTTATTTCTCTTCAGATATATATTTTTATAAAAGATAAAGTAATGACACCAGTCCTCTGCTTAATTTCCTTCAATGATTTCCATTGCCTTGGGAAATATTTAAACCTTATCATAGCCAGGAAGCTCCATATTAAATGCTGATTTCACTGTGTTCCAGAATATTGGAAACCTCTCTAACCTCCAAACTTCTCCAGAAGCCTCTGCCTGCAGGCATCTGCTCTTATTCACCAGGCTAATACCCACTCATCTTTCAAGTGTCAATCTAACATCACTTCTTCAAAGCAGTACTTCCTGACTTCTGAAGTGGAAATTAGAACCTCCTGTTACACATGTCAGTAGCTTTATATACCTGTCATCTATGCCACTTTTATTTATCGCTGTGATTATTTAATATTTGTCTCCCTTTTCGCAATGTGAGCCATTAAGGTATGGTCTGGGATTTTTGCTTTTCTTTTTCCCCCCACTAAATTCTCAGTGCCTACTATAGTTTCTGTATACATAGTAGGCATACATTCAATATTTAAGTGCACAAATGAATTATACATATTAGCATATAAATGAATGCATTGACACTGCAATAGAATACTTAAAATTATTTTATTCATTATATTCCTGCTTTTTGGCTTTATTTTAGTTTACATTTATTGCCTTATCATTCTGTATGATTTTTGATCAAGAATTTCAGAGCAAATGCTGGAATTATTAGAATGGCACCTGGGACTCTGATAATCTTAGCATTACTACTGATTATTGGTCTATACTGAAAAATAGCATTATTAAAAGTACACAGCGGTATTTTGTCATGATCAAAACAAAAGTGTGATCAAAACAAGGGATTATCTGTGTATTTTAAATATTTTATAGCATAATAACTAGAGGATATGCAGGTTAAGATGGTGAATGCTCAAATACATAAAGTTTAGAAATTAAGGATAAAGGGAATTTAAAATGTTTCATTACTTCAGAACTTCTCAAGTGCCATCAATATTTTAATGAACAAGGTGATGTTCTCAAAGGGAATACCGTATGCACCAGATTTAGAAATCTTAAGTGTAGAAATACAGCCTCATTTCAACAGACCAACCTATAGAAAGAAACCCAAATCTAAACTTTTATGTATAATTTTATTCTAACCTATATTTTCAACATTGCATATTATTCACTCTGCTGTGTGAACTCTCTGCCTCTGCTGAAGTCTAATCAGTTTTCCACGTTTCTCTAGGATTCAGCATATACTTTTTGACATTTATTTCAGACCTCTCTAGAATGACTTTACTCACCTATGAAATTCTAATCATGTATCCATTCTTGAAATCCCAATTTCACTTCTTCTAGAAAAAATTCTAGCATTTAGAGTTCATTTTATTAATCAGAATTGTACACTTGACAAATGCATTCTTATATATCTTTGAGTTTACCATACATCGTTTTAGAATAACAACATTTTCAAAACTTTTTATATGTTTAAATGAAAAAATACATAGCTATCTCTATTTTACAATGGGGTGATTTGTTGAGAGAAAATGTCCAAACACATATTTAAAAGATGGATTGGAAATAAATGTGAGATGGGGCATCCTCATCAGTAGAGTTTCATAATTTTTAGTCAGTTGAAATGGCATAACACATTCAAAGTTAAGTGCATACACATACACAACTACCCACACACATTTTTATCTGATTTCCCACAACTTAATTCACTGAATGCCTCGTCTCCACAAATAGAACTATATTTAGTCCTCTTTGAATAAATACCAATAACATTTTGTTGGAAAATGCTCTAAAACGCAGACCTACACCTACCTAGACAATGAAACCAGAATGTTTGTGAAAAGCAGGGCTACTCCTTCCTTTTCTCTTAATTAAGGAGCATTAACAGGGACATGTAAGTTAGGTGACATGATCTGGCTAATCAAGCTAATTTCATTTCTTTCCTATTACAGATGAGTATGTATATATTAGGCAAGATAATCAAACACAAAATCCCTTATCATCAGCAGTACTGTCAAGAAGTTTGCATTGATGTTTAGTATCTAGCCAAGGAGATCAATGTGTGAAACCATTTATCATCCTAAAAATCAATTAAAAGTTAATTAAGACTGTTAATACGAAAAATCACACATCTCTTCTTCCCTTGTACCACATCAAAGCAATAAACAGTAATAGCTTCAACTTTATAATCATCTGTCCACGGTCAACACATTTTGTAATATACATCTTGCTGTGGGGCCTGGTTTGCAGCTATTTATCTGCGAATGCATTTTGCTGGAAACTGGCTGCTAGTCTGTAGTCAAATAAAAACCCACTGGATAAAACTCTGAATATTTGCTTTAAAGAGCTTCTGGAAAACCTTAATCATTAAAATCAAAGTTAGAGTATATTAGAGACAACTACATAATTACTTTAAAAAAATCAGATCATGTAGCAGGGCATTTATTGAACATGATTTAGTGACTATGTGTTGAACACCATTTTTTTTTTCTCAAAAATTTCCTCCCTTTTATTTTTAACGATTTTTATTTATTTCCATCGAATTTACATTCAGAGCATGATTTTATACCATATCATTTCAAAGGGAAATATTTTTCTTATTCATCCCTATTTTTCCTCATTCCCCTCTCCTCCCCCCAGTGAGTCTTCTATATACTCTTTCCCATCAAAAAAAGAGTGGAAGCCTACTACTGACATGCCTATAGGGGGCTACAAATTCTATAGAGACCTCCACATAGTCTGCATGGGTAGACTGTATGGAGATAAAACCTCAAATCTGTATCTCCTCTATCAAAAAAGTCTCTGGGTGAATGACTTGGATCTTTTTTCAATGATTAATTCCAATTTAAAATATGTTGTGTGCTCATACCCATTCAAATTGTTTAGATATAAATGATCTCTGTTTATTCTCACAACCATCAGGTACACACTCAGTACTCTGAGAACAAAAAGAAAATATAGCTATTAGAAAAGGTGTGAACTACAAGGTTGCACCTATTAGCCCAG